TCATTCTATGGACCAGTGATGGCAAAAATCATGAAAATGCAAAATCAGGAACGGTCGAAAATCACTGCTGATCTTGCGAGTAGCAAAATCACAAAGCAGAAAATCAAGGCTGATTTTAACCTTAGCTGATTTTGCGGTAACAAAAACCAAACGGAAAATCAATAGATTGGTATAACAGTCAAAGTAAAAATCCGACATCGGGGAAATGTCTCTAATGTTGGCCTATGGATCTAAGATTGGGCCCATCGCTAAAAATCTGCTATTTATCAATTTTATCTAGATGAACGCGTTATTGGGACGTTACTAATGACTATTTTTGGTTGCTATTGAAAATTTAGTCGATTGCTGAATTTATGTATGGGCCCAAATAAGGGACACTAAGACCGACATTACCTGCATTCCCCTCCCCCGCCATTTTGGAATTCAAGATGGCGGACCAAAATCCAATATGGCGGCCCCCGGACTAGGAATATGCATTTAAACCCATGCAATATGGGTATCTACGGAATGGGCTCGATGAGGAGAAGTGAAAAACTAACATCCGCCGCCATTTTGGAATCCAATATGGTGAACCAAAATCCAATATGGCGGCCCCCGGACTAGGAATATGCATTTAAACCCATACAATATGGGTATCTACGGAATGAGCTCGATGAGTGGAAGTGAAAAATTGACATCCGTCGCCATTTTGGAATCCAATATGGCAGACCAAAATCCAATATAGCGGCCCCCGGACAGGGAATATGCATTTAAACCCATGCAATATGGATATCTACGGAATGAGCTCGATGAGTGGAAGTGAAAAATTGACATCCGCCGCCATTTTAGAATCCAATATGGTGGCCCCAGCCTAGAAATATGCATTTAAACCCATGCAATATGGGTATCTGCGGAATGGGCTCGATAAGGGGAAGTGGAAAATTTACATCCACCGGCATTTTGGAATCCAAGATGGTGGACCAATATCCAATATGGCATCCCCCGGACAGGATATAATATAATAATATGGGTATCTGCGGAATGAGCTCGATGAGTGGAAGTGGAAAATTGACATCTGCCGCCATTTTGGAATCCAATATGGCTGACCAAATTCAAATAGGCGGCCCCGGACAGGGAATATTCCTCTAAACCCATGCAATATTGGTATCTACGGAATGGGCTCGATGAGGAGAAGCGGAAAATTGACATCCCCGCCATTTTGGAATAGCCGGCGTTGGTAGTGTAGTGGTAAGCGTGACTGCTTTCTAACACCCCGATGGGTCTGGGTTCAATCCCAGCCGAGGTCGGTGGGATTTTTCTGAGGCATAAAAATCTCTGGTCACTTCTTCCTTCGGAAGGGAAGTAAAGCCGTTGGTCCCGGTCCATGTGTGTTGAATGGGTGCGATATCCTACGCAGGTGTGGAAGCTGCCTTCCTGCACATTCGATTGCCGTCAATGGATGCCAATCGATGTCCGTCGGTGATTGGCACTAGATTGCGGAACAGAGACCGACGTTAAATAAAGGAAAGAAGCCATTTTGGAATCCAATAAGACGGGCCAAAATCCAATATGACGGGCCAAACTCCAATATGGTGGCCCCCGGACTAGAAATATGCATTTAAACCCATGCAATATGAGTATCAACGGAATGAGCTCGATGAGGGGAAGTGGAAAATTGACAGTGGGAGCTCTCTTGGGTTGAAATCCACCATTTTAATTTCATTCGGAATGTTGACTTGAATTTCGGAATGCCCCAAACTCTAGAATTTCACATATCTTCTTATCCTATGATTTTCGATGATTTTGATCTTGGTTGATATTGATGCTGGTTGATTTTGAGAATCGAAAATCACGGCTGATATTGGTCGAAAATCACGTGTGATTTTCGTGGTGATGATGACTTGTGATATTGGTTCCTGTGATTTTAGGTGATCTTGATCTTGAATGATTGCTGATTTTGATTTTCTGATCTTGATTTTAGCCAACACTGCTATGGACTGAACTCGGATGCGATTGACTGTGGAGGTCTCTCTGCGCTCTATGCGTATCACCGACGGCAGCAGCAACATTAATAGCGAATTCGTTTATTATTCAGTTCCAACCTGGATCGGGTATCAAGATTGGGTCTGCTTGTTTTCTGACAAACGTCAGTTTGATCGTTTGTTTTTAAAACCCAGCTCAAGAACTGGTTCCAACCCCGATAATAAACGAATTCGCTATAAGAAAGATGCTGCTAACAGAATTGTGAAGGTAACCACACCGGAGGTAACAGAGCCAATCTGAATCGCGGTCTTAATGAACGCAATCGCAGCCGGCAGCAGTTTCAGGGAGATTAATATGCGATTCTGGCATGACCAAGGATACAAATATGAAGGAACAACAGGTAGATACAAGGAGAAGGCAGTCATCAGACGACTGCAACCAGTATCGAGATTCTGTACCGACATTTGGATAGGGGGCAGTCAGACGAATTTAGTATCTAACCACGACTGCTGACACTGGGAAGCTACTGCAGGTCTATTGCTGCTACTACTACCGCCGGTGGGCATTTTAGGTCGAGTCCTTCCTATTTTTCAGGTTGAAGCATTGCCCGAGTAGCATGATGATAATGCAGACAAGATTCATCTTCCACTTTCCGGTTGAATACTTGGTTTCGGCAAACATCTGCCAGAATGACGCACGGTAGAGAACTGTCTTCTCCTGGATGGACAGCTTCTGCCATCAGTAACCCCTCACCCTTCTCGAGGAGGGGCTAATCTTCGAGAGCCATTTTCTTGAAGCGGGTGACCATCAACCAGCTCGTTCAATATTATATTGGAATTAAGTTTCACAACTTTTTTCCGTCCTTGACTTGAAAATGTAAACACACAATCTCAAAAGTCATAAGTGCAGGGTTGCCAAACTCATGGGTTACTGTGACTGATAGCTTGATTGCCACACTGCAGCACGTTCGGCACAACGATTGACCTAGTTTTCGGCACAGATCCAGTACTCGGCACAGATTGGGATGTGCAGAGTTGAACACCCCTTGTATCACATTGAATTTAAGAGGATTTTTCCCGCGCTCTCGCACATTAGTATCATTTCTGATCGCACTATCATTGGAATATTTTGTGAAATGTTTTGAATTCCAAACCGTACGCACTAGACCGACGTTCTGTCAAATACTTAGAATTTGTTTGCATAGCAACGCTTGGTGAATCGATCTATTGAATCAGTATTGGACTCTAACTAAACCAAAACGTCAAATCATTTAAATTCCATAGAACCAGAGTGTCAAAATTGAAGACATTTTGGATTCAAACCTAGAAGTAGGGGGTAGGTATTTTCTGAATGGGATTGTTGCTTCGAAATAGATGAAAATCAAATAAACAAGCAAACACACACACATCCGAGATCAATATTATGTCGGTTAATAAGCGAGTATTAAAAGTAAGACATTTTGAGGCAAAAGGACGACGTACACAAATTGTTGTTGTGCTTTAGGATACCATATGGCAACCCGACCATGGTTACACTTGAAGTTGTCTACAATATCCTCGCAAACAATTATTGACGTACTCTGAGGTTGGTCCAGTTATTTCATTCCACGATCTCTCCATTCCAGCAAATGGGCCGTGCTGTGAGTAAGTATATAATTAACAGAAGGTGGGTAAAACCATCTCCGGTACTTAAGAAAATGCTATCTCCATAGGCTGCAGTGTGCTAAAATATATGACAATTCCGGCACGTAGCGAGACAATAAAGAGATTTACCAACGCCAGAGACGCTGTACGTTCCTCATAAATGTTTTTTGCTGTTGTGCTGAAACCCACTTAAGTATGACTGAAAGATTTTTTTCCAACAAAAGCGCCCTTTCAGCCTTCATTCAATATGCAAAGTAAACCGCATCCCAAAATATGTCATACGAAATTGCCACACCGGTGAGGCTGTAGCAAATTACTGTCTTCTTCCCTTGTGAACGAAATTTTAATCATACACCAACTTCCAATCCATTTCAGTCAATTACGCTTTGGTGGCCTGTGTTACGATACAGTCAAAATAAGCATGCAAAAGCTCCGTTGACCACGGACCCTGAATGGTTATGCGTGGCCTAAAATGTTGCCGCTGGACAGCAGTTGTTAGGGTGGAGGCAACCTTGCCAAATTTCTGTCGCATGCTAACAAAAATTATAATGACGCACCATTACCATTACTTAATCCTTCTTGACTACACGTGTTACTCATCTTAATACAGCTAACTCAGCTGTCAGCTTGACGACCAGCCCCCGACATGGACCCATGGACATGGCGATCCATCTTAATGTCTACTTACTGCGCAGGCTGTTGCAACCGAGCGAGTCTGTGATCTTGGCTGCTCCGCCTCCTCCTCCTCCTCCTGTAATCACACACGAAAAGGCAGCAAAGGCAAGTCATCCCAGCCGGAGACAACAAGACACTTTTGCTTTCTTCTGCGCTTCACAACACCCGACTGGGTCAAGCAACAAGACTCGCTTCTCGTATCAACTTTTGGAGCTGGTGATTAATTACGCCAGGATGCCCCCCGCCGGCTGTGGGGGGAAATCGCAAATTGATTGAGTGAGTCTCCCCCCCGAGTCCGTTGCCGGGCTAAAATGGAGATAGATTTCGGTGATTTGTCGCTTTTGAGAAAATTAGTTAATTTTATTGAGCTAGGTGATGGGATCTACCGCCGAAAAGGTGGTCAGTAGGTAGCGGAAAATAGTGATTAACACATGATTAAGTGCACCACACTACCAGGCAGTGTGTTGATGGGCAATTGCTGTCGCTAAGAGGGTGTCAACGAAGGTTGAGTCTTGATACAGGTGGTACTCAATTTTGCGTTTGTTTGATTATGGTGATTGTTGGAGAATTTACAACTCCAGAGTGCAACGGATTCATAAGACTATGTTGAAGACGTAGAGAGTTTGAAGATTGTTTTTCATTCAAGGGACCTTAGGATGCAACTTTCGAAGAACCAACTCTTTATCACCCCAAAGTTCTCATCCCCGCTTCCCATTGCAGGACTCATTCAGCGATGACGTCAGCCGGACCAAGCGAAAATTCAAACCGGAAGACATGCAAGCCGCAAATCTGGTCCTAAACCGGTCCCTGGAACAGCGCCAACAAACCGCGTCGGTGAAGCAAGCACGCCAAGCAAGCACGGACGACAACGACGGTGCAGAGAACGAGGTCGATGAAGACGGCAGCGAGAACGGTCCCTTGGGAGAGGATGGCAAAGTGACGCTGCAGATCCCTGGTAAGCTGTTCGGAAATGCCACAAATCTGGTGCTGGCGGTTGCGAAAATCTTTGGCGATTTTCTCACGGTGAGTTTGAATTGTAGTTTAGTTTACCTGCATTTCATGAAACTTCGATTTCGTTTTAGAACACCGCCATCCGCTCGGCTCGATTTCTGCAGCTCTTCCAGCCCTTGTTTGGTCGCAATCTGTACATCCAGATACCGAGGACCACAACCGAGTCGAATGAAGTTTGAGATTCTTTTGCTTTTAATGTAGCTGAATACTTTATTATAGTTCATCGAATTTATATTTACATATTACCATTAGCCTAGGCGCGCCGTTTAAGCATTTGGTTGCAATCGTTGGATCTTTTTATTTTATATATTATTTACGATATTTAATAAAATGATCTACCTAGGTTCTAGGTTCGTCGTTAAATGTTATCCAGCTCTTTTGGGATCTCAATCACCAGGTGACCGCCGAAAAGGGGCTGGATGAATCGCATCAGCTGGGCCAAACGGGCGGCCGATCTCTGTTGGGATGGAAGATGGTAAAAACTGGAATGAATATTATGGATCATGAAGGGAAAATAATACGGGAAACGGGAATTTGGTTCAAGACTAGACTAGAAACAGTTCTCAGGAATGAGAAGCAAATATATAGAATTATATAAAGGCTACGAAAAACCAATAGCGTAAACCATAAGAAGTACTTGAGATGCGATTTGAAGTTAAAAAAAAAAACTGCAATGGGCTGCCCTTTGCGGTTGTACCACCGGTTGGAAACTAACGATTTAAAAATGGCTCACTTCTTGACTAGCCTATTGGTCCCAAGCAAATCGATTAACGCACCCTATTCTAGTCAAAATTCTAGTTCTACACTGTGTTTGTTTTGATTCGCTATGAAAGTTTGACAGATAAAATGAGGGGTTCGTGGATTTTCCAATGTTTCGTGGGGTGAATCGATTAGCTTGGGACCGAAGAGAGTACCAGAGCTGAGCCAAAAAGTTGAACACGTTTCTTCGGGACCTTCGGGTCTTAGAGTTATCTCTATGGTTGTACGTAGGGCAAACATATTTTTGAATATTAAAACCAATAAATGATCCATAAAATATTGGAAAACGTTCCGTAAAAAACATCCAAATCATCCATAAAACATCGGACAAAATCCTTAAAAAAGTGTGAATGATCCATAAAAAATATCAATATTAACCATATTTTATCTAAAATTTAGCAACACAATTGTAACAATGTACCGCTGAATTTCTAAAGAATGAGCATTGAAATTGTACGAATTACCCATAAACATATTGCAATTGATCCATAGCACCATATCCATAGAAAATCAAGTTTACGCACTTTAAAAGATAGCCATGTTCGGATTAATGAAAGCAACTTCCTCAGAGCAGTCTCGTTTTGGACAGCTTGAAGGTGAAATAGGTTTTACAACCTTAATGCTATATAATAAAACCTATTTCAGCTTCAAGCTGTCCAAAACGAGGTTGCTCTGAGGAAGTTGCTTTCATTAATCCGATATCCGATATAGCCTCAAAATGTCAGAGGGATCAACACCACCGTTGAGTGAAGAACAGAACAGCGATCGAAACTGTACGCTTTGTGAAGGCCATGACCACGTAGATGATATGGTCCAGTGTTATGTCTGCGATTTCTGGACCCAGGAGGTTCCGTAGACGTTCTTGAAGTGCACAAATATGCTGAAGGTGCAGAAAGGAACCAAGAAGTCTGTCCCAAAGAAACCACCTAGCATAATGAATAAATGGTGCGAGGAGTGATGCCGGATCCTAATCTGGAAAAGGAAGTATCAATGAGGTCAGCCTGGAGGAATCCCTAGACCAGTTCCAGCAGGAGAAAAGCGCAAAGGAGAAAGCGCTGGAGGAAGAGAATCATCCATGAAAAGCGATAGGAGGCTGAGCGGGTGATTTTTCAAACCGAGAGTTATCTTCCGTCACTCTGTCAACAAAGATTTAGCTAAATTTTAGATTTAGGAATTCAAATATTATTTTAGTTAGGCTCGCAAACGATGTAGAATGAGCTACCTACATGTTACTTAGGGTAAATCAAGTATAAATGTAGCGTTTAAGAACAAATTATAGGTTACCAGATTTTAGGATCAAATTGTAGTATCTAGATTTAGCAAATATAGGGTTCAATATTTTCACGAATAACCCCAGAAGCTAGTTCACTACAAATCACTACAATTTAATGAAACAATAGGTATAGTAACAAATTTAGGCAATTAACTTAATTTAGCTGTAAACGTGACAGCGACCGTTACCGTAGCTCTCCGAATCTCCCACAGGGTTGTCGCTGGGCTTGGTAGTACAGGGTTATCCCGATATTCCGAACATGAACATGATCGTTACAATTCAATATCAATAGCTTTCCCGTGTAGACATCCAAGAGAGACAACCGAAAGCAAGAGAAGTTATGCTACACGGGGGGCGCTCGGAAGGAACGCATCTGAAGGGTTTTTGTAATGTACCTAACATGCTGGCCACCTAAATTCTGTTAAGGGATTTATGAATTCAAAAATCTTAACTAAGCTGCTTAAGATTAAAGATGCTGGAAGTTTCACGATATGATACTGTATTCTTCTCAGGAACTACGTTGCGCTTTCCGGGCTTGCAGCGTTTACATCCTTCGGGGTTGCACCTGACGGTTGAGAATAGCAGGTGTTGGTGGGTTGCCCAGTCAAGGCCTTCTCGAATGGCAGCAAACAGATACGTGACGCCTGTCGTTTGTAGATGGCACCGTTCGGTGTGCGTACCTTCACTACCCTGATTACACCGTCGGGACCGGGATAGGCTTCAATGATTCGGGCTAGAGGTCACTCGATGGCTGCGGATCCATCCTCCTTCAGGACCACCATTTGACCCACCTTCAGCAGGGTTGCTTGAAGGAATCTGTGACTATGGCATGACCAGACACTCCCGGATAACTAGCTCAGTAGCATGAGACCCCTGAACTGTGTCGCAGGGCCGGCATGTTACTGGGTATTCGGAGGGGCTACGCGGACAAAGTATGAAACACAGGAATATTCACATTTTACAACACATTTATTTGCCCTATTCTGTGGTGTGTGGGTGTGGGTTTCCACATATATGTGGCGTGTATGCGAGGGTTTTAAAATTTGCACTGTACTCACTACTGCAGCGGGATCTCCTACGACGTCGCGACGCTGGCGTTGGCCCACACGGCTGCTCCTGCACTACCGTGTGGCCGGAAACTTGCGGCGCGGGCTGCAGACAGTGTTGCTGCAGCTTTGGGAGAATGGCGGATCTGGTGGCATTCATCAGCCACATACGGCTCAGCAGGCGTTGCTGGCTCGTTTGGCTGGCAGGCGTCTTCCGTCGTTGACAAAATCGGCTGACCGTGGCATGGCCACCTAGGTCGAGCCGAGACGGGACCCTCCTTGGCAATTAAGGCCACCGGCCTGAGGGAATCGTCCCTGACGGACGATCGAGGATCATTCACTATTAGGCTCGGAAGCCGTCTTGACTTCCGAGCCGAGCCGTGTAAAACCGTTTTGTTTACGGTACGAGGTGTACAAAATGTACAAAAGCACAAGAGTTCCTGAGAATTATCAAATTCAGTCAGGGAAATTTCCGTCAGGATAATAAAAATCAATTACCTGAACGGAGGTAGGCTTTCCAGCCCAAACCCCCACAAGGGGGGGGGGTGTATTAAATATGCACTACACTTCACGATACCGGTCTACACGGACGCCTAATTACTTCTGCCTAATCTTCCAAATCTAAGATGGCTAGCTATTCATCATCCAATTTGCGCATCCAATGGTATTTTAAAGCCAAGATATTCCTCCCTTCAGTAACGTTACGTTGTTGTTCGCAGCGGCACAAACCCTCTCGCTCTTGTGTGTGTCTACTGTTTTAGGTTTAACAAAACGTGAATTTTCCAAACAACAACAACTCATACAAACGAAAATCCACGGATTGTAACCAACTGGTTACAAATCGTTGACTCTGGTTGTGCAGCTGTGAGATGTGCTCTCGCCTCCATCGCTTCCAATGGTGCTGTACTAGTTGTTGCAGTTCCTGGTAGTGCTGTAACCGGTTCGTAGGAACCTCCGTGTAGTCCGGATCGGGAATCGCCAGCAACGATGAGCCAGTCAAAAAATGTCCGGGAGTGAGCACGTCTAGCTCATCAGGATCTTCCGACAGTGGCGTAAGCGGACGAGAATTCATGGCCGCTTCTATCTGGGTGAGGATGGTGGTCATGTCTTCGAACGAAAATTTTCGTTGGCCCAAGACTCGGAGCAATGACGTCTTGGCAGATTTCACGGCGGCTTCTCAAAGGACACCAAAGTTTGGTGCTCTTGGTGGTATAAATTTCCAAACGATGCCACGCTTAGAAGTTTCATTAGCGATTTTTGAGGTTGCAATTGGATCGGATAGAAGGCCGTGAAGGTCTCGTAGATGGTTGCTAGCTCCTTGGAAGTTCATATCATTGCCCGAGTGGATCTCAGTAGGTAACCCTCGACGCGATACAAATCGTCACAGCGCAGCCATGAAAGCAGCCGTGGTGAGGTCCCCTACAAGCTCGAGATGGACCGCTTTCGTGCTAAAACACACGAGAACTGCTATGTAGGCTTTCAGCGCAGCTGCTCGACGATGTGCGGGCTTTAGGTAGACTGGACCACAATAATCCACACCAGTGACCGCAAATGCACGAGTGGGAGTGGTACGAGAAATGGGAGGAATTCAAGGAGGTCCAGATGCAAATAGAGAAAATGGAGGAACATGAGGAGAACGCGGATCAACACAAGCAGACTCGGTCAGAGTTCGAGGAGTTGTACTTCCAGGTACGGGCAGGGTTGAAAGTGAAGTTGCCATCCACCACTCCCTCACCCTCCCTTTCTATCTCCACCAATTCACGTGTGGAGGCATGTGCTGGTATACAACTACCTTTTGCCTTTTTTCGACACTTTCAAGTCGCTGATCCACACCAATCCAGATTTGAGCGGGATTCAGCGCTTTCATTACCTTGACCAAACGTTATTCGAACGTTTATCTACAGAAGAAACGGCACGTCAACGCTCTTCTACAGTTTCCGAAGATGAAGAAAATTTCTACAAGTGGGATCCATGATGTTATCGACACTTTCGACCGGCACACAAAAATCTTGGATCAATTAGGGGAAGTGACTGCAGCAATTGTCTTAGGCGTGACCATTACAGTAGAGATTGCACATCTACTTTCCGCTGTCGTACGTGTAGCAAAAAACACCATACTTTTCTCCATCCGGGATTAGCGGCAACTAGTACTGGGTCAGCGGTCAGATATCAAGTCCTTGAACAATCGCAAACGAGCGGTTCCAGCATTTCTACGGCAGTTGCAGTTGGGACTCCACAACAATCCCATCAAAGTTCTGTAACTTCAATCTACGCAGCTTCAATCAGAGCTACGCGATGTACATATGTTTCTGTCGACAGTTCTAGTGTCGGTGAAAGATTGTAACGGGCGTTTGCACACGGCGTGAGCACTTCTTGATAGCGGATCGCAGGCGAATCTTATCTCCGAAAGGCTGAATCTCCCCTCTGATATGGTCCTGGCGGACCCAGGTTTCAACAAACAGGCTCCAATAGACATTCTACTGGGTTTGGAGTATTTCTACGAGTTCCTGTTATTGAATGGAGGTCGGGTCCAAATTCAGCGGATAGGTGAGGGTCTACCGCTCTTCGTTAATACCGTATTTGGGCAGCTGGCAAGGCGGATTTGGACAGTCTGAACCCAGTTCCATGCTGCCACGTGTCGGATGACCCGACTCTAGGTGAGAAGATCGAACGGTTCTGGAAAATTGAAGAGATGCCAGATGTACCACGGCGGACCAAAGAAGAGTAGGATTGCGAGGAGTACTTTGAAGCTACTTTCTCTAGAGATGCCACGGGGAGGTACGTTGTGCGTCTGCCAAAACGAATGGGATTTGAGCGGATGGTCGGTGAATCAAAGGATATGGCTGTGCGAAGACTGGTGCAACTAGAACGGCGGTTGGACAAGAACGAAGAATTGCGCAGGCGTTACAACGAGGCGATGCAGACGTATTTGGACCAAAAACATATGGTGATGGTACCGGAGGAGAAGCTAAAGCGTGATAAACGGCTTTTTTTTTTTTTAGTTATAGTCACTTTAACGCTCTTGGGTCATTCGTGACTTGTCCGGGGGTGAGATTATAACTCTTGACTTTGGCGTGAGAGGTATGGATGCTAACCACTACACCGGGGTCGCCCCCATAAACGGCTCTCTTGTTACCTGCCTCATCATCCGGTAATCAAAGAGTCGAGTGCGACCACGAAATTTCGGGCAGTTTTCAACGGTTCGGCTAAAACAACATCCAACTACTCTCTGAATGATGCTTTGATGACGGGTCCAGTGATTCAGGATCCGTTGTTCGATCTGGTTCTGCGATTCCGCAAGTACTTTATCGCTTTAGTTGGTGGCATTGAGAAGATGTACCTGCAGGTGAAGGTACATTTTGATGACGCTGCTCTTCTGCGGATTTTGTGGAGATTTTCCTAAAACGAGACCATAGCAACTTACGCGATGTCCAGGGTCACGTTTGGTTTGGCGCCATCATCGTTTCATGCAACGAGGTGTTTGCAGCAGCTGGCGCACGACAAAGGTAGTCAGTTTCCACGAGCGAAAGCGGCGCTCTTGAATGATTTCTACATTGATGATTTTATTGGAGGGGCAGACTCAGAAAGCGAAGCTATATTGTTACGGCAAGAGTTGGAGCAGTTGATGCCTAAAGGTGGTTTTAGACTACGAAAATGGGTCAGCAACGCCAAGAGTGCGTTGGCGGGTCTGACCGCAGATGAATTGGGAACTCAATCATCACTTAGTTTCGACCAGGAACTGGTGAAAACCCTAGGAATTCACTGGCAACCAGGGCCAGATTTGTTGGGTGTAGACGTATCGTGTCTCGCTGTAAACGGACAGTGGACAAGGCGCAAGGTTTACTCCGTCATTGCTCAACTATGGGATCCTTGCGGTTTCACGGCTCCAGTCATCTCGTGGGCAAAGGTTCACATGCAGCTATTGTGGGTAGCCTCTCAAGGTTGGGACGATCCATTGTCGCAGGACTTAGCTAGTCGCTGGACGGATTTTTATCAGCAGCTGCCCAAACTCTCGGATATCAAAGTGGACCGGCACGCATTCACTAATCATCCAATTCTGATCCAATTTCACGTCTTCTCGGATGCGTCCGAAGCTGCTTACGGCGTGTGTATCTACGCTAGATCCATCAACCAACTGGGGCAGATAAAGGTGGAACTCTTCGCGGCAAAATCTCGTCCAGCTAGTTTGAAGAAGACTACTCTCGCCAGGTTAGAGTTATGCGGTGCCTTCATGGCAGCAAAACTATATCGTTCGATCGTCAAGGCACTCGGGATGAATAGAACCGAAACTTGGTTCTGGTCAGATTCGACAGTTGTGCTATCGTGGTTGAAGCGGCCATCGTACGTGTGGCCAACATTTGTTGCGAATCGTGTTTCGCATATTCAGGAGCTAACGAAAGGTCACCGCTGGAACCATGTCAAGGGCACGGGGAATCCAGCCGATCTTGTGTCTCGGAGAGTAATGCCAAGGGATCTCGTCGATATGCAGCACTGGTTCAATGGGCCACCCTGGTTATCCTTGCTTGATCAACATTGGAATATCGAACAAAACTTGAAGTACGAGGAACCATCGGAGGAGTTGCTGGAGAAAAAGAAGCACGTCTTTGTGGCGGTGGGTTGTCCACAACCTCACTCACTTTTGAATAATTACTCATGCTATTGGAAACTTTTGCGGATTACAGCGTACTGCATAAAATTCATCCGTAGCTTGCAGCTGCTCCATCCGTTCCTAGATCAACAAGGCATAATTCGCGTTGGTGGCTGGCTAAATCTCGCCGATGAATCATACGCCGTCCGACACCCCACGATTATCCCTAGTAACCACTCATTCTCAAGGCAGATAGCTGTCGCATACCATAACCTGTCGCTCCATTCTGGCCCCCGAATGACGCTCGCTCAAATACGGCAAGAATTTTGGCCCCTACGGGGTAAGGCACTGGCAACTTATACTTTCCGAAACTGCATTCGCTGCTTTCGAAGCAACCCTGTCCCTATATCCCAACCACCTGGTCAACTCCCAAAACCTCGTACCACTCCCACTCGTGCATTTGCGGTCACTGGTGTGGATTATTGTGGTCCAGTCTACCTAAAGCCCGCACATCGTCGAGCAGCTGCGCTGAAAGCCTACAACGCAGTTTTTCATCAACACAGGAGGCAGGCTTTTCGTTTCGGGTCCTTTCGTTGAATCGAGATTTTCGAGGGCTTTCTGAACATCGTCTGGAGAAAACTGGATGCATTGTAGATTTATGTTATGAGACGGAATCTGCCCGTTGAACGGGTGATGCTTTACTAAATACGCTCTCAAATAAATCAGCAAAGAGATTAGCTGTCTCCGAGCATGAGCGAGAAGTGGTTCCTTCGAAGTTGCCGTAGTCAGCTTTGCGTTTCTTAATGAAATCCCAAAAGTGCGAAGGATTATCCCTGACGGTTGTCTGTATCCTACACAAATAGTTTTCGTGTGTTGTAGAAAGGGTGGCTTTGTACTCCAACTCAAGCTCAACGAGTCTAGCTTTATCGGACTCATTTTTCGTTTGAAAAAACCTGTTGCGCAGCTTACGAAGCTTGTTACGAAGCGTACGTAACTCTGCAGTCCACCACGGTTTGTTGAAAGCAGAAATCGGTGCTTTTCTCTTTCGAGGTACATGATGATTTATAACTTCAGAGAGAGAGATTCGTAGAAACATCTGGTCTACTGAAGCATAACTTGATAATTGTTCCCACTCAATAATCTTAAAAATAGAATTCAACAAGTCAAGTCACATGCCAAATAGTCAAATTTAAAACATTTGTCCGGATCGTCAAGTACGGATGGTACAAAACTCTCGTCAAGTAGTAAGATGATTGGTGTGTGATGATTATCAACAGTTAACAGCGATGCAGGTGCGGCAATCAGGTCAAGGTACTCCGGTAGATTGGTGAACGTCATGTCCAGGAGTCTTTCGTTAGTGTTGACAATGTTATTAATCTGCCTCAAGCCATTGGAAAACAGCTTCTGTAAAGTTTTTCTCAGTACCAGTCAAGGCGTTTGAAGGAATAAAGCCACGAATGTCCTCGTCAAGATGCCACCGCAGATTAGGAAGATTAAAATCACCGATCGATAGGATTATGTCAGTCTCCGATAAATGATCTGCCACTTGTTGAACGGCCCTTGCATAAGCAATATATAGCTCGGCACTCGAGTTAGGTGGAAGATCATTCGCTGCCAGACTGCTGAGCAGTAGTCGACGTTTCTTCTCTCGCTCTCTTCGTTCGTTCGATTGCGTTGTTCCGTTTTTTTTTTCTCGCGTTGAATAGTGACACTCTCGCTGACCCAGCCATGGGTCAAAAATCGCGCGGTGGTGCGAGTGCCGGCAATCCAGGGAAACGGTCTAGGCCTGAAGACAACAGTGACAGTGCGACAGCCGCGAAGAAGCTGCTCGACAACAATCAGTTCTCCGTTCTGAAGGACGACGGTGCATAGCTGGTAACGGAAACAACAGGACCGCCGAAAAAGGACAAAATGCCGCCCTTCTACGTGAAAGGCTTCCCTTCCGGACTGCGGGAAACAATAAACTTCTACATCACGAAGGGCGTCCGGTGCACCATCCAACTGACCAAGCACAGGTGGAGTACTTCTCCCACAACATCGAGGCTGTTAAGCCGTTCAAGCTGGTCCTACGAGGACTATACGACATGGACACAGGCATCCTCTTGGAAGAGTTGGTGGCTAATGGACTGAAGCCAGTCCAAATTCACAAGATGGCCCGCCACAACAAGGCCGTCAAGTACCGCGACCAGCTATACCTGGTTCACCTTGAGAAGAACTCAATAACTTTGATGGACCTCCAGGGCATCTGCGTTCTGTTCAACATAGTGGTGAAGCCGGTACAAGCCGGTCAGCCATGGAGTCACCCAATACTCGAACTGCCTGCTGTTCGGACATGGAACGATTAATTGCCATATGGTCAGCCGCTGCATCAAGTGTGGCAAACAACACAAAAGATAGATAGACTCTATGAAGCCGATCTCATTTGCGCCAACTGCAGTGCTGCTCACAAAGCTACGAGCAAGGCCTGCCCGAAGCGCGCCGAGTACATCGAGATCCGGAAGAAAGCATCGACGAGAAACCAGCCCGGCCGTTCCATGACCACCAGTTCCATGACGACCGATTCCAGTGCTGCCACCGCTGCCACTCAATCATCGATTGGCTGCTGCTCGTGTCGCTGCTACTGATGCTCAAGCTCAAACTGCCGGAGCCCCTGCAAACTCAGGTCAACAGACGACTGCTGCTCCCCACAGCACCTGGGCTAAACTGGCGTCAGGATGGACCGTCCCTACCGCAGCCCAAAATCAACAATGGTTCTTGGTTCACCGCAGCGGACCTCAAGATGAACGACATTGCCAACACCAACAAAAACAAAACCGACCAGCTCCAAGCTGTGGCTTCCTACATGCTCAGTTATGGACCGTGAGCTCATCAAAATCGCAAACTGGAACGCTTGCTCACTCAAGAGCAAAATGATCGAGTTCATTGACTTCCTCAACAAACATAGCATCGACATCGCTAACATCACCGAAACTCACATGAAACCGGTGATGAACGTATTTATTCCTGGATTCCGGCTCGTGAGGCTGGATCGGACAAGCTCTGGAGACGGTGGAGTGGCCATCGCTACCAGAAACAACGTCTGCTGCCGGCTGCTACCCAGTTTCCAGCTGAAAATGGTTGAAGCATTGGGAGTGGAAGTCTCTGCACCTGTCGGCTCCGTCACCATCATTGCAGCCTAGTGCCTGAAACAAGCAAACGCCACGGATGGATCCGCGGCAGACCTGCGGAGAGATATTGTCAAGATAACACGACACTTTGGGGCAACCAAAGGCGGAATCAAAACGGCACCATCCTGAACGACAACCTGCAAGAGACTCACTACACCATCCTGGCGCCGGACACTCCCACCCGACTGAGTCGATCCGGCGTGCACTCCATCATCGACATCTTCGTCAGCAACATGGGAGACAACGTCTCGCAACCTGTGACCCACCAGGAGCTGAGTTCGGAGCACTATCCGGTTGTGGCCGATGTGGGCTCATCAGTCAAACGATTCCAAGCTTCCCGAAGCAACTACCATCGCGTCAGCTGGGATCAGTTCCAACACTGTGTCGACTCCACTGTCGACTACGGTGTCCTTCCGGAGACGCCCGACGACGTTGACCGGTTCCTGCGTTCTATCGAGGATGCGAGATCCCAAGCCAGGGATCAACACGTGCCAGTATCCAGACAGGTGAGCACTACTCTGAACCTTGATATAATTACCAAAAATCTCATTAGACTCCGTAATTCCACCTTGCCTGTCTTGAAGACCCTCTGTAATTACCTAACAAAAACCATCCAAGCCAGGATGGTGGACCTCAGAAATCAGAACTTTGCTAACAGGATCCGCTCTCTCCCAGATTGTGCAAAACCCTTTTCCAAATTCATTCTTATGAACAAGTCCAGGACCAATTTTATGAATTGAACACTTTTAAGGTTTTTCCGGATGTTCCTGAGAGTCACCCTGGGGCCTGTAAGATGGGTGTAAGATGTTTCAAGTAGTTGTAAAAAAATCACTTGCAACGCTTCCCTCCTCGTTGGAATCCGATTTGCTTTAAGCGCGTTCAACACTGGACCAACCAATCAATGGTATCGACGCTTTTGACCACAAACATTTTTTCATGCAACAGATTATCTACAATTTGAACTAGCAGCGTGAGCTTTGAGTTATTTTACTCAAACGTTGTTAACTGTCAACTAACTGATAGCGAATTCGTTTAGTATTCAGCTCCAACCTGGATCGGGTATCAAGATTGAGTTTGCTTGTTTACTGACATACGTCACTTTGATCGGTTACTGGGTAACCATTACATCAACGAGTGCCGATCTTTCTTGGCCAAGTCCGCATCGCAACGCTTTCAGCGAATCGAAGAGCTTCATTTGTGCGTCAATTGTTTTAGCAATCGCCATATTGTTGCTGAGTGCAAAAGTAGCTCATGCAAAGACAGTGGACAACGCCACAATATCCTTCTCCATTTTGAACCCAAGTCATCGAGCCCTTCCAACAGTACATCGAAAAATAACGATAATTCGAAGGTTATCGGTAGCAGCAACGAACAACAAGCTAAACCTGAGACTGGTCCCAGCCGTGTCGGATTGTGTGTTACCAAAAACATCGACTCTAATCAGCTCCAGTCTCGATGGAAGCGCCCGGACCAGAGACGTTTCATATTCCGAGCGGAAATTCAAACTCGAAAACAATGTCTAGAAGGGTTCAACTTCTCGTATCCACCGATCAAGCGTTGTTGCATACAGCTATCGTGTACATTCGTGGTGGGAATGGTGAAGTTCAACAGTGTCGAGCAGTATTAGACTCCTGCGCGATGTCTGCGTTCATGACTACGTCCTGTGCGCAGAAGTTACGTATCAAAACCTTCTCTGCAAATGCCTCGGTTGTTGGGTTCGGAGGAGCAGGCAGGAAGATTGGAGAATCTGTCGTTGCACATGTGAGGTCGAAAACAGCTTTCTTCGATTCGATCGCTGAATTTCTCGTCACTCCCAACATAACAACCAAACTTCCGCTACAAACCTTCAGTATAAGCAATAGGAAAATTCCAGAGTGGACTGATCTCGCCGACCCTCTCTTCAATCAAACGGCCATGGTGGAAATTCAAAATGATGTTG